TCTTTAAAAAAAAAAAAAGAATTCCAAATAAAATGCTACATCATTTGAAATGCAATTACTAGCCTTCCTTTAATGATGACATTTCTCTAGTATTTAATCTGAATCCAGGAAGTAAAAAGTCTTAAAATAGATAGGGCGTATCTTCACTAAATGGAAATCCATGCAAATTCTTTTACTTTTTCAGTTTGGATCAGACTAAGATTTTATATAACAATTTAGTTCTATATCCTGTAGTTACGCTTATGATGAAAATATTATGAGAAGGTAGAGAGATGTTCTTTCCCTATCTGTCCATACATCTGTCTTCCTCCTTCCTTCCTTCCTTTCTTCCTTCCCTCTCTCCCTTCCCTCCTCCCTTCCTCCTTCCCTCTTTCTGTTCTTTTGCTCTCTCTCTCTTCCCATTCATCCACCCACACATCCATCTCTTCATTCACCCATCTGTGTATGTACGTATGTATGTTTCTATCTCTATCACCTATATAAATTTAAATAGGAGTAGACCAAATTCTCCATGACCTCAGACACAGGCCTGCTTCTGCCTCCTGAGTTTTAAGAAATAACTACTAATCTATTTCTCTGTGAATGGAAGCTTTTATTCATAGGTTATGACGATCACATTTAAAAAATGTTCTAGCATGTGGCCTATGATACCTGAATTTGACAAGTCCTCTCCTCCTTGTATTAAGATTTACCTAGATACTCTTATGAGTCCTTTGTGAGGGCCTAAGGCACAGGTGTATGTGTGTGTGTGTGTGTTTTAGCATATGTCTATGTATACATAGACACACAACATACACACATATATTTGAGTATGTATATATATTCCAAACGCAGAGAGCAAGATAATTGATACTAGGGCATTGTCACTGGGTTTCTATTAAGTTCGTCTATGAAACTGCCAATATTCTACCATTTTGTCACACAAAAATAGCAATTTTATATGATACAGTCTAATACTATGTTTCCAATGAAACTTTAAGGTCTCAAAAAACAAATGAACAAGAAAGGTAGAAAAACAAACAAAACCTTGTTGCTTGTTGTCTCTTTTGCTCAGTCTAGGGGCACGTGTGCAGCTGGGCCATGACTGTATGGTCAAAGCTCCTGACTTTGGGGGATCTTTAAAGGAAATGCATGTTTTATGTGAAAGAAGAAATGGCCCTGGTAACTGTTAGTGCAATGGGATCATTATGAAATTTCCAAGTGAACCACCCTGTATTACTTTCTTCTCTAGCTGCTGGAATCTGTTTCCCCTCTGCCCTAACATGGGGGACATTCTCATGCACTGGTTGTTAGGAGATGTTAGAATGTTGAGCAAGCAGGACAAGCATGACAAATGTCTGCCTTTCTGGAGAGAGAACATTTTCATCAAAGCTATATACACATCATACACATACCCCCAGATATTTGTGGCACAAGTCACTGAACAGGGAATATCCCCTCCCGCCCCACCTCCTGGTTCAGCTGCTCACAGATGCATCCACAACCAAGTCATAAAACACAATGAAACCAAGAGCCAATCCATAAAGAAAAGCCTGCCCCAGGCTTAATTCAAGCAAGCCATTCATCGAGCTAATGTGATGGTGGACCTGTCGAATCCAGAACGCATCACGGACACATCAGCAACACCAAGTGGCATGCAATGACCAGATGACCGTCGGCCCCACTGCCATGCTTTGATTGGTTCAAGCTCAGAAAACCATCCCCTCTGAGAGTTTGGACAGTTGGCTTTCCCTCCATCAGAGTGAGATTAAAAATGAAGATTTGGTGAAGTCAAGTGCTTACCACACATTTCCTAAATGCCAAGGAGAGATATCTGCCTATTCCCATTAAATCTGTCAGTGAGACTATCAAATTACCTAGTCCAGGCAGGTCTCTTTCTTTTGGGGAAATCTCTGCCCACACCAGATGGTCTTCATTCTGGAGGTCAGCATTCAAAAACTCTCCGGGTGCTCCCAGATAATCAGCATGTGATCATTTAACCAAGGAGATGTTGGGGAGGGAGTTGCAAGGTGCCCATCAAGGACCTTCTGGACAGTCCTGAGGTTACTGGAGTTCAATATTTTCCAAAGGTCCCTGAATCTTTAATTTGATGAGGGCTTAATTTGTGCTGATAAAAGGAAAAATTCTACCGAGTGGGGACACCAAGCTTCTTCTGCTTTCCATAGGCCTGACGAGCGAATCTCATGATTACAAGTAAAGTTAGTTGCGGTTTCTCTTTTCATCCTGTTGACAACCAGTGAGCGTTACCCAAACGCTCTCAATTCCTGCTGATTTTGCTTCCTATTCTGAAGTTTTTTTGGGTTAAGAAGTTTTTTCTCTTTGTCATCCTGCCTGTCTTCTAGACGAGAGGAACCAAGAATCTATCACTGCTGATACTCAGCTGCGATCATGTAAAAATAAATTATTATACAACTGCTCTGAGATAAATTCTAGAAACTTGGCATCTTTCACCTAGATTCAAAAGCTATTCTGATAATTTCATATTTTCCCCAAATATGTGTCTTCTATCAAAGGGAAGGGTCTTCCTTCTCTTCACCTGCTTACTGGAAATATAAGGAGGTACCACCATGTCATAAATATGCTTTATAAATCGAACCAGAAATATCATTTTAAAGATTGTTTTCTGGTAATTTGCCTATCACTGCATTTACCTCAATGCAATAATCCCATATGTGGCAAGTGTCTTGCTTATAATAAAGTTAAAGAGGGCTGGTAATCAATTTCCACAGCAACCAAGAAGACCCAATGTACAAATTTCTTTCATGAACAGCAAGAGGCCAATTACGTGGACAAGAGTATATTTACTTGGTTTCTTCCACGGAAACGATTATACCAACGTGGGAATTGTAGAGTCATTCAAGATTTACCAAGACTGAGGGCAATTTTCAGTAGGACACGTTGCCAATGAGAAATCTCCATACTGTTAAAATACCAGATTTTATACACAAATTTGCATTGGGTGCCCCCCAATACAGCAACACTTTAACTTAATTTTCAAATGAATGCCAATAGAGATGGCCAGATTCTCAAGTAATTCTATTTAAGAATAGTATTAAATATTGTTTATTTTTTAAAAGTGTCTAGATGGGTCTTATTGAAGAAAGCAATTTAAATTATATCTTTATAATTAACCTTTTTTCCAACTTGGGGGATGCACTTATACTGAGAAGCAAGATAAAAATCCAAAGAAATAAATCCATTTAAGATTCTTATAATTATACAGCAGGCTAAAGTTACTGTGATTATAATTATATACAAAGTGGGTGTTTGAGAATTCAGCATCTAGAGATATTTTCATAAAAATAATTAAGGGTTGTAGATGAACCACATTACAATTGATACTTTGTGAATCTTCAGTGTGCAGAGTTTAATAGCATTAAGACTTTTCATTTGTAGAATGAGCTCCAGGATTTCAAGATTGCGATCAGTTTTATGAGCTTTATTGACCCTCTCTAGTTTCCTAAGCTGGTGTCAAAGTGTGCTGAAGATAGTAACGTACATAAAAACACGTTTTGCATCTTGGCAAGAGGATATTGGGTAACTGGATAATTTATGTATTTAGAACTGCATCTTAACAGTTGTTTGGATTTCTTTGGAGGCGCCCTCCGGCCCTGAGAACTCGTTAGGGCTGTTTATAAGAAAACAGTAATAATACCTACATACAACCAGATAGCAGACCTCACTTCTATCTCGCCAAAGAGCCATTTGTTAAAAGTGTATGCATGGGGTTTTCAAAGTGCAGCATTTAGGGTTCAGGAGTTGATTTTGCTTTCTTCTATCTTGGAAGAAATCTGCAGTTACATTGAGCTAACGACACACCTTGTGGGAAATGGAATGGAGCCGCAGAGAAAGCACACGGCAGCAAACCGAGAGAGGAACTAAGTCACAACAGGCCAGGTAGGAAGGAGCACCAGTGGCTGCTGACACTTCCCATTCGGAGGTCAAGTACATCGCCTGCTTACCTGTCTGACCCAGCATGCCTCAGCCACACATGCAAATTGTTACCATCACTGTTTTATCCATGAGACGTATTTTTAAATTAAAGGAGTCATTACCAAAAATAAGCACCCTCGATGACATTTGTGCATGCAGAGCATCTGAACATTCACATTTATGTCCTCAGAAAACAGAGCCAACGGGTTGCATTCAAATATGGAAACGCACGCTTTGTTTTTTGTTTTGTTTTTTTTTTCCAGGCACCTACACGAAAATAGCCGTGGCTTGTCATTTCAGAAACCGAGTCGTCTGTCAAGCCTGGGCCATGGGTAATGGAGCTCCTCCACCCCCCACGCCCACCCCCGCCATCCATTCTGACTTCTGCATTTCTTAGACCCTCTCTGTCCCCCTTCCACTGCCAGTCTCAACATGTGGTGCGCATTACAAATACACGCTGGCTTATCTTAGTAGGATCGGACTCGGGGCACTGCTGAAAAGAGTGAATCTCCTTAGGAACGCCAGGTACATCTCCCCCATGCCTTTGTGTTGGATTAAAAAAAAAAAAAAAAAAAAAAGGCAACGGAGGGAATGCTTTACTGGGTGTAAAAAGTTGCAAAAAAAAAAAAAAAAAAGCTGGCGGGGAAGCGGGGTGATTAAATTGGAGGAAAACCTGCACGATCACCTTCTGGTGTTCTTCCGGTGAGTTAGAGGAGACCAGGGCTGCTGCTTGCACAGAAGCCCGTGGGAAGGCTGTACAGGGACCGTATGTGTGTGCATGCAAGGTGCGCTGTTGTAGGGATTTAGAAAGATCTGAAAAGCAACTCCACTGGCACAAAACATAGCATTTCGGGTTTTAGCGGAGAGGGCGAGAGTTTAGGCTGTTCTAGGCTTGATGGTTCATCCTCTCTCTATGTGACGCTGTTTACCTTCACCGTGGGACCTGACCTTTGGGTGCTGCCTCCCCAGCAGTCATGCATGCGCACCAGAACCAGACGAGAATCTCGTCTCCCACCAGCTAAGTCCATCTCCAGGTAGCTGTCAAGCAGGAGGAGGGGCACTCTTACCTGTCACTGTAGGCGGTGGCAGTGGCAGGGGTCGGCTGGGCGTAGCGGTATGCAGCATAACCACCCTAAAATGCAAGGAGAAATCTGACTTAGGAATGCACAGGAGGCCGACTCAGGGGCGCAGCGACTGTGAGGCCGCAGCCGAACAGCAGTAACCCACATCTACCAGTCTAATGCGGAGGTTAATGAAAGCTTAGTACCAGAGCAGAAGTACAAAACACACTGGAGACACGGGGGCTTGGATACCGACCCCAGCTGGTTGTTAAAGGTTAGCGGTTGTCAGCATTTCCCAAAGGAAGAACCCAGACACCCTTCTGAAGAGATGTACCTAGACGGTTAATGGTGACTGTGTTGGGGTGGGGAGGATTATGGGGGATTCTCTAAACACTCTGTGTACTTGTCTGAACTTTCCAGATTTTCAAAAAGGATTATGCTTTACCCCTACTTATCAGCTACTAACTTACGGCTTATTCAAACTCTCGTATTACTTCCTTAAAAATCCAACGTAGGTTGAGCTAATGCCCTCCTGTCTTACACTGATATTTATAAAAAAAAATAAGATAACGCTTTGATTGAAAGTTTACTAGTCATCTCTTGCCTATGGAGCTGTTCAACCACTGAAGCAATTAAATAAGACTGTGTTTAGCTTTCTAAGTGTTGCATAAGTATTTAGAAAAATGGAAATGGTGAACACTTGTTAAAAATTGTCTTTTCCGCTAAAGATATCACACTGTTCAGATAGGGAATTTGTTTGGTGTGGAAAATACGATAAAACTTTCCAATTTGTAAATAAAATAATTGAGAGAGAGAAAAACCCGAAAAAAAAAATGAACATTTAGTTGCATGTAGCAGTTATTGCAATTGTTCAGTTAAGCAGAGGACAAGCAAATGGTCATATTCGAAAGGAATTGTGTTCATGGAGCATTGATTATCAAACTGTGAAAATAACTGAGCTTCTTGCTCAGCAGACCACAGCGATACATCAACCACTGTCGAGTGCTCTCACACAATTAACAAACAGGATCCAGTCTCTACCAATAACACAGGGAACACTCAGGTTCTAATTAGAATTCACAGTCCCATAATCCTCTGAGGCAACAGTTCTTACCCTCACCATAAAGGGGCAACTCTGAACAGACTGATGTGTTCGAGGACCCCCAACCGTCAAGGTACTCGTGTGTCAGAGGGGATCTAACAACAAAATCAGGAGTGAGGGGTATGTTACACTTAGCTTCGTGTGTAGGGGACAACCAAGTGGTAAGACAAGGAGACAGATGCTGGAAAGAGCATCTTCTGAAATGTGGACAAAGTGGTCTCAATAATTTATTTCTACCATCTTCTAACTTTCAGAATACATCTGCCACGACTTACATAGCAACTCAAAAATCTAGTCTGTCCTTAAAGAAATGTGTCCTTTGGATCAGCCCTGGAGAAGGCACAGTCCAAGACATCCTGAAAGATAATCCCCAAGCATTTAGAGCCAGTATTACACACACACACACACACACACACACACATCTCCCTTGAAAAATAATGTGGAAGTTAAAAAAAAGAGGTCTTAGCCAGACACCACCTGGTGTTCCAAACACCATATTCTCTAATTAGGAACAGGGAAACTCATTAAATGTGCTGAGGAGCTGTAAAACCCAAGCAGTTGTCACACCAGCACCAAGCTCAAGATACAGAATGATGGGCTGGGGGGAAATCAGGTCACCAGATTTCTGGAGTCATTCTTTTTATCTGCTTGTCCATCTCCTTGGCTTTCATGATGCGTCCAGAAAGGCACAGGTGTGCAGGTGTGTATATTAAACAATGAGGCACGGAGGGGCTGGAGCTGGTTCGTTGATTGCTAGAAGGCACTAACTGCCGTTAGCTGAAAGCTTGGATGGAGAAAGTGTGTGTGTGTGTGTGTGTATTTTTCTCTCCCGGAATAAAAAGTAAAAGCCATTGCAAAGGTATTTGCATCAAGGGCCAGGTAAATCAATCATAATTTGGTGACTGTGAATTTGGCCCCAGAAAAGATTTCTAGCAACCCCCCCCACCCCATGCATACCCTCTAGGTTTGAACTCAGAATGTGTCCCCAGCTTCCATGATTGTTTCCATCAGTGAAAATGGGTAGCCAGTTTGATAAGTGCAAAGAACAGCTGTAGTGCAAATAGCAGATAACGAAAATGAGCCTCACTGACTGCCAGTTGATATTTATCGTATGAACATAAAATGGATGTGTGTGCAACCGGGATCCTTCTGCACAGCAGACGTGCTTGTCTATGACGCCTTGGGAAGGACCCATCCTCTCCATTATTTTCACGTGACTTGCCCATTTAGACAAAGTAAGTGTGTGCTTCTATGTGAGACAGGCAAAAATGGTCAATGCTCTGACAATATCCTGGTCTTGGATATTTAGGAATCTGTTTACCAGCATTTCCTATTTAAGACTCAAGGTCATAGTTTGCCAAAGTCTGTGGAGCCAGTGGAGAGATTTTGACCTTGAGCAGGGGTCTCCTACCTGTCCAGTAGGTCTGTTGGTGATAGCAATGTTCTGCCTCTGAGCTGTCTAATACAGTTGTCACTGGTCCTAAGTGACTATTGAACACTTGAAATGTTGGCTGGTAAAACAAACTGCAGTTTTTAATTTGTTTAATTTGAGTTAATCTGACTTTACATGTCAAGGGCCACATGGGGCTGGTGGCTTCAGTACTGGACAGTCCAGGTCTAAGTGATCCCTCAAATAGGTAATAAGCAGAAAAAGAAAAGACTCAGGGGGCTTGATACCACCATGTCTATATACTGCGTTGTCTTCTTTTGCTATTTTTCTTTTGTATGAAATCCACATTAGGGGAATAACAGAGTTGTGTATTAACTCTGTGTATGTGTGCATACACTGTAAAATGATAAAAAAAATACAAATTGCTTTAATTTGCCTAACAGGTGACTCTAATCAATTTTATTGCTCCATATTTTGCAGCTCGCTGAGCATAGCCAGAGCTTCTGCAAGGTTCTGTGCTAATGTCTGAAAAAGGAACGCTCACTTCCATTTGCTGGCACCAAACCATGTTCATGTTGAAACCAGTCTTCCTGAGCTTAGGACAAAAATGCATCCTTAACAATTAGATTTTTCCCACTACCAGACCAAATGGCAAGCACAACATGGTTCTGTGCTTCCTACTCATAAACTATACTCATTTTTCACGTATTGGGCAGCAAGCTATAAATGAGGCCTTATATAAAATATAAATTGTAAATGGCCATTATGAATTCTCCCTCCCACCTCTGCCACCATCACCAGAAGTGGCCACAAAGATCCCGACTCATATTGTCAGAAACATTTCCTTTGCTAGCGAGACCTCTGGAGGTTGGGGTGAGTTACTGATTGAGAACCTCTAATGGTGTTCCAACAAAGCATTTTCAAAACTGTACTTTGTGGAATACTAATAGAGGAAAAGAAACCTTTCCATGACCAAACGGGTTTGGGAAATGCCATATTAAACAAAACGAAACTGGCTACTCCATCTGTGGAACTTTCTAAAACAATATTGATGAGCACTGTAAATCCTTAGTGCATCTCAGAGTCATTTAACAAAGGAAATCACATTTTTTAGTTTAGAGCATACTTTTGGAAAATGATGTTCTAGTATCCAAATGACGTAGGAAGAGAGGTGAAATGTTTGTGTCCTGGTGGAGACATGGGGATGGGTAGTGCTGTAAAGTCTGTGTGTGTGTGTGTGTGTGTGTGTGTGTGTGTGTGTGTGGGTGTATGTGTATTTTCTCTTCAGCTTAACTGTATAAAGTAGCAAAGGGCTTAATCCTAGACAGAAGCCTCCCCATTTCTAAGAATACCCAAGGATCTCATTTTGTGCAATCTACAAGGTGGATTGGTATATACTGCGGTATGTGTGTGTATTTATTTATTTTTACTAAAACATTTATAAGAACATTTGCAAAATGAAACACTTAAACATAAGTAATTGCTCCCTAATTTATCTGCATCATACATTCAGCTGTTTTTGAATTGTGGCAATTGAAAATCACTTTTCCTGAAACGTAAAAATAAAAGTTGATCTCAGGAATTTAAATTATTTTGTTCTCGCCTAGATCCAAGTACCCCCCCTTTTGTACTAGGTTTCTCATTAAAACTTGATTAATTCTCATGGTTAAAAAAGAATATACTTTCTTAATTGACTTAATACAGAACAAAAATGGGAATTGCATGTTACAGGGAAATCCATGTAATCAAACTCCCACTGATCATCCTTAGTTTTACGTTCTTCTTTCATTTCATTTGACAGTTTTAATGTTGGTTATAGACCATATTGGGAGACTCGGCCAGCTACACTCCAATGGATGTGTTGCTCTTTTTTCTTCCTACAAATTGGTTCATTTGGGGGTTGCTTCCGTAGTCAGTAATAGGGTTGAAAGCTATAGCAATAGGTGTGAAATAAATTTATAAGAAGCTACAATGAAACCAGGTAAAGTTACGTTAGCTGTGCTGACCCTCAATGCTGGATGAATAAGTTTTTTGCTTAACCATTCCAGTTGACTCCAGGAACCTACTACAAAGTTACCCAGACAGTTGATACAATGAAACCTTGCAAGTCTTTTCACTGAATTTATATTAATTGGGTGTAGATGCATTTTAAGCCAGGAAATTTATAGCCAAGTCAGATCTCCATTTTGATACACTCATGATCTAGCGAACAGGGGAAATCTGAGGATGTGCATCTCTATTCTAGAAGCATTCACATCGAAACTGGAAAATTCAGTTAAGTCTTTCCTCCTTCTATGTTAGAGAACATCTCCCCTCCCCAGAATTGTCTTGTTAGTAGGATTTCACAGCAAACCCACAATCATAGTGATGAGTTTTTCCACCAGTCGGGATTTCATACCTGCAGCAATTTATTGCCATACACAGGCTCTTGATACACTACTCTATAAGGAAACAGAAATGTAATGTTTTCAATGCAAAAATGAAATAAATAAAAGAAAATGCATAAGTCAGACAGAAATTCCAGAGCAATTCATTTACAAGTTTGCTTCTCTTACTTCACTAAGGCCTTCTGAGAATGACCCATCAAACCAAAAGAAGGAGGTTTTAGCTGCCGAGCTCTGTAACCCAGTGTATCAAGAAGGTGCGGGTGGGGATCAAACCCTACTGATTGTATTTGTGCCATAACCTGTGTTTATTTTTAGAGAAGAAAAAAGGATACTTTCATGGCTTCTTATCCTTCTAAGCATAACACAACAGTGGAAGTTAACTAATTCAAATTTCTCTCTTTATCTCATGATTAGAATTCTCTGGAAAACCTGAGGATTTAGCTTTGATGCCTAATTATTGAGGCAGTTAAGATGACAACACAGAGCAACCATAACTGTATCAATGCCTTTATTTTAAAAATCTAATATCACATAACAACAGAGAGTACAATTGAATTTTGTGAATTAATGAATCACGTTGAAGCTACCAAAGCTACTTTTAATATATATGACTGGAAAAATTATGTGTGCATGCATGTGTCTAGAGAAGTTGCCAATAATGTATGTATCAAGGATATGTCACAACCTCATTCAAGTCCAACGCCAACAAGATCTCAAGTAGAACCCCTCGGACAGACTGGGATGCAATTTCTAGATGTGGGAGTTTTTTGTGGGCAAGCTTAATCTTTCATGTGACTGGTTCTAGTTTAAAGTGAAATTTTCCAGTTCTAGGGCAGACATCGATGTGGTGGAATGCTGTAAGAGATTATGGGACCTGCCTCATAAATGTATGTGTGTGTGTGTGTGTGTGTGTGTGTGTGTGTGTATCTTAACCTTTACTTGGCCTTAGATTTAGTAAATTTAAGCCTGTGGACTATGCGTGTCAACATTCTAGTCTCTTCTCTCTCTCATTCCCATTGCTTATTGGAAAGTTTCAAGTAGAGATACTGTTCTCCATGACCCTCCTACCCCATTATCCTCCTCATTATCCTCTTACTTCTCATCTTCCTCCTTTCCTTTCACTGCATTTCTCAGAGTTTGGCTCAATGAGGGCAAGGACGTTACTCTGTTGGCTCTGGGCTTAAGCATTGAACTCTGAAGCCAGATCATGTGGGCTCAGACCCCAATGTCAATGAACATTTCTGGACAAATCATTTCATCTCTTTTCTGAGGAAAAGTGTCCCCCTCTGAAAACAAAAGTGGAGCTAACGGGTGGAGGCAATTCCTCCCCTCCAGTGCTGAGGGGAGGAGGGAAGGCAGTAAAGATAGTAATGCTTAAGTCCTTTGTGGAGTTGCCCCTGTGGTGTCTGAGCTGTCTAATATTAGCTGACTCGCAGCCAACTCCCGATGAAAGTGGGGTCCCAGAAATAAGGACTTGGGGTTTATTTGGAGAAGTTCTGTGTTCCAGTTATCCATGTTTACATGGGTGAAATGAGGACACCTCTTTAAGATCCATGGATGGCAGAGTGACACGAATTCAGAAATAATTGTGTTTAGCCATGGCGTCAGCCAGGAACTTGTATAACGGAATTTAAGAATCATGTGAACAGGCACTGGAATCTCACTGAAACATACCAGCCTCATGGCTGCATGGATGGGTGGCCTGCCTGTTCCATCGTCTATCAGTGTTTCTTTCTCGGTCTCCCCTCCCCACTGTCTTCTCTTCCCTTCCTTCCAGTGCTCCATTCTCTCACTCCACGTTCCACTGAGTTAGTACCTTCTTTTTAAATAGCTCTATTATAATGGCCTTATTTCCATTTTCAATAGTTATCTTTTGATCAAATGCCATACCCTTGGATCGCTCCCTGAGCTGGGGAAGACAAATGTCTGGATAAATGCAGTTAAGCCACACTTGCTTTCAGCCTGTGGCCAATTCTGGTCTCCTGAGATCCATAGCTTCACCCCCAAATAGAACGGATTGCTTTGTAGGCCCAAGGAACTTAGTCCTTCTACGTCAATTTTCGAACAGGTTGTCAATCCCATGGATCACTACCACTATTATTTTTTTTCTCTTTACTGTGACTCAGTTTTTCATGAAAAAAAAAAAATCATTTAAATGTGCACCACTAAGCAATCATGGCGAACTTGCAGATTAGATAGGCTAGTTATGTAAGATAAATTCCTATCTTCTGAAATAAAAGTGTGTGTGTGTGTTTGTGTGTGTGTGTGTGTGTGTGTGTGTGTGTATAGCATGTCCTCGGGTAGAAAGGACCCAGGTAATGACCTTTCATACTGTCCTTCCTGACTTCGAAATCCGCTACATCCTCTCTGATGAATGGCCATCCACACTGGGCCTGAGCATGTCCCCTACGACCAGAGTCCGAGCTTCTCCTGCAGGTCTTTCAAATCCTATGTGCTCCGTTAGGACTGAGAAATGCCCAAGGCCTCCAACATCAGGTGGGGGGGAGGGATGGAAAGGCCTTGCAGGACAGAGAGAAGGGGTGGAGGCCATGGTCTAGTGCATGTGTTGTGACAGCTTCTGAGGGGGGACAGTGCTTGAGCAGGAAGAACTGGAGGGTGGCCTGCCTGTGCCGTCCTTAGCAGTGACCAAAGCTAGAAGCTCACTACTCTACCCAGTAAAGTGAAAATGAAAGAGGACATTTAAACCTGTTAGAGGTGACCCAGGTGTCTAACGCCTGTCCCAGGACCTCTCAGGATTGCCCTAACCCTATTTATTGTGCACTATTTTTAATGAGATTGAAGGAGCAAGCCAGAAACTTCCTTTAAATAAAATAGAACCTCGCATACTTTCTTACGAACCTTGTTAATCATCATTCCTTCAAGAAACGGTGCCCTGGGGACAGTTCCAGTCGTAAGAACAGACCAGTACCACAAGGGAGGCAGGGGTGGCAGCTTGAAAAAGCACATTCCAGATTGTAAGGTACTTCTAGCCAGGAGGAATCCTGCTCTGTAAACTTTAAGAGTGCAGGAACTATTCATATTCTTTCTTTCCCTTAAATGGACATAAGGCCATCGATGAGCCCTTGTTTCGCTGCCGTAATGGGCGGTCTAGTCCCTCACTGTGCCCCACAGACACACATTACCTGGCAGCAATATTCCCAACTTGCCATCTTACGCAGAGCAGTATAGTCAGGAAGGTCTGCAAGGCCTGGACTATCTTCTCGGAAAGAGGACAGAAACAAGTGCTGGGTAAACAAGGCTCCAAGTTATTTCAGTAAGTGCTTCTGTCCCCTAATTGCCTATTTGGAACCACCCCCTGAAATACCTTATTGTCATATAATATGAACAGTGGAAAAATGATCTAAATTTTTTTTTTTTTTTGGCTAGAAGAGTGGCTTGCAAAGAATGAGAGAAGCAGTCTTCTAAACCTTGACACCGGGGAAGCGCAGCATGGCAAAAACAAGACACGCCGCCCCCAGACAGAATCTCTCTGCGGGCGGCACCCAGACACCTGTCGGGGCTACGCCACTATGCCCGGCAGGCTTGGCCCAGATATGAGGAATCTGGGGGAAACAAAACCACTAAGGGAACTTAAAGGACAAAGGGACCTTTTTCGTAGCTTTCCTCCCTGAATGGAATTTATCTTCCTGCCTAGTCTGGAAGCTGGCACATTTGCTCCCTTCTGCATGTCTCTGCTCCCTCCATTTGCTTTGTTCTCATGGATGTCCATTTGTGGTCTCTAGGGCCAACCAGCACAGACACATCTGCCCACTTCTCTTTCTAGTGCGTTCTTTCCCTGTGTCTGTGATCCAATAGACTCTGCGTTTGGGCAGCTCCTCCCTCCTGCTACTCAAACATCTAAGAGGCAGGGAAAGACGCCCACCAGATATATCCACAGGACAGCACAAATTAATAGTCAATTGCTGTCAGTTTACAAATGAAGAAACTGAGGCACAGAGAGGCGGGCACTCCCCCCCATCCCCACTGGTGACTGTTGATGGAGATAGTTTTCTTTTTTGTTTTCTGGGTTGTTTGTTTGTTTTTTTTTTGGTTGTCTTTTTCCCTCATTTTTCATCCCTTCTCTTCTCCCCATTTCCCAAATTGAAAAAAAAAAGCCCTAAACTTAGGTATGCTCTATCTAGAGGCTACACTGGGGGAGGGTGTAGACTGATGTTGGGTTCATTAGGTTTCTAAGGATGTGGATGGGCTTGAGGATGCCCAGCCCCAGCCTGCCTGTTTATAATGGTATGCATTGAAAGTTTTTTGTTTTTTTTTTTAAAGAGGATATTTGGAGGCATGGATTAAACTACACAAAAAATAAGAAATTGGTTGTTCACTGGGTGTAGGTTGTTTGTTCATTTTATTATGAAAAAAATACTAACCCACAGATTATAATAAATGTATTTGATGCAATGATAGAACTCAACTATATGCATCATTGATGGAGATTAATACTATGTCTCAAAATTGTAATTATTTGAAATTCAAAAGGAAGAAAATTAAATAAATAGTGTCTTTCCCATTTTCTAGTAAATGATATCAATTTGGTCAGAAATACGGATTTATTTTTCTCTGTTATCTAGTTTATAAGATGACAAATATGATTCCAGTGAACTTACTTGAGATCACTTGTAATAAAAAAGTATATGATTTAAAAAACAGCCCCTGGTCCTGCCCATCTATTTTAAATTGTGTTTATTCCAGGTTATTTTCCTAACATTGCAGCTAATATCATAATGTGGGAGAAAAAGTACCTCTAGATCTATTTAGGTAAGTTTAATTATGGTGCCCATAATGAGAACCATCCTACTCTTTTCTGAAAGTGAAAAGTTTAATAAAGTGGTACCATTTAATAAACAATTCTAAATTTAACAAACAGTTTGAAGTCAGGTAATGGTTTGGGGGGAAACGGAAGAATAAGGAAGAAAATAGGGTTTCATGGTCAAGTTGGCTTACATTTTGTTAGAGATGTTTCTGGCTAAAATCATCCAGACAAAATGGGAGGGGTTCTTTCTAGAGCTATTACTATGAACAATTAAATGTATTTACAGGAA